TGCCACAATGACGCCACACGCAAACTGGAGGAGCAACACCTCATATTGTGCCTCAGGAGCCTACAGTCTGATGGCCTTATCATAGGATTCACCAGTTTTAAAATCTCCCCACCCGTGGCCTTATCCTACGTCTAACCCTCACTCTCATCCCTGCTTCCTTGACTTGTCCATCTTCTTCCCCACCTATCCACCCCACCCATCCCACTGATCAAACCCCACCATTCGCTACCTGCATTCACCTGTCACCATCCCACCTAATTTCCCCAGCCCCACCCCTCCTCCCGCTATTTATTTCCCAGCTCTCTTCCCCATCCCCATTTCTGAAGAAGGCTCTAGACCCGAAACTTCAGCTTTCCTGCTCCTCTGATGCTGCTTGGCCTCCTGTGTTCATCCAGCTCTGCACCTTGTTATCTCAGATTCTCCAGCATCGGCAGTTCGTACTATCTTCATAATAATATGTGTTGCCTTATACGCAAATATATAGGCTAAGATTTACTAATGCACCCATACAGCTCTGGTACTTTTTAATCTTTGTTTATAATGTCCCTTGCCATGCTGTATGCCAAACGTCTGTCCATTTTCTCCATTACATAAGTATCATCCTTCAACTAAGTATCAGTGTTGTGAATATTTGAATGTAAGCGTGAGGAAATTTGGATTATAATCTTTAATTGGTCCATAACTAAATGAAAAAAGTCCAAAATGTTTTTGTACATAACTTCCAGTTTGATCCCTGCAAAAGTATTTGAATCATGTCTACAATACACTAAGATACCCATCACACTACATTATGATATGTTAATGAACATTTACATATATTGGTTCCAGGGCAGAGACGCATTTCATCTTCTATGATCCATTAAGAAAATATATGGTAGCCTTGGGACACTTCACTCTTAAATATAGTTGAATGGTTATGTATTCAAGTAAGGAAATAAAGTTGCTTTCTTCTTTACTTGAAAAATATTCTGCAATAAAGGAAGTATGAGCATTACTTAGATCAGATGATTTTTTTAATTAGCAGTCTCCAGGAAACTGCAAGAAATTCAAGCATTGTTAGACAGATATTTCAGCAGCAAGCGCAATATCTCAGTGCCAAATCAGTATATCACCAGTCCAATATAATAGTCCAAGCATTCCTTACATTCTTTTAATTATAGTGAAGACTGATATTTAAAAGATTTGTAACATATCCCTGCATTTTAACTCATCAATATTCAGGTGGCTGCAATAAAGTTGTATAATGGCAGCTAAAAGTCGAGGAATACAAGGCAAGCACATTTAATTTAAGAAATCTAATTCATTCTGGTTTGGCTCAGCAGCCGTTATGTATCTGTCCGATGGTGTTAGGCAGAAATGATGTGATGGTGCTCGTTGCCTCGAGTATTGAAGTGAAAAGAGTTCATTATATTTCACTCAAATATACAGGACCATAATTGAGAACTCTCTATTTCAGGATATGCTTCAATTATTGAAAAATGTCTAATGCTGACATAGGAAAAATTTCTATTTATTAATGCTGAGCAAATTTATTCACATATTGCAGCAGAATATTTGTAAATGTAGCGCAAGGTGTAAATTGGAAAATTGATTACATGCCTTAGTATCATTAAATGTGGTTGTTGTAAATATATTATTTATCTGTTGTTTTCGTCTGTTATATATCATTTTATGCTGATTAGGTTGAACCTTATCTTCCATATGAATTTACTTGTGAAGGGATGCTGGAGCGTGTCCATGCTTACATCCAGTACCAGGTATGTCAATCAAGTTTTCTGTTTCTCCGCACAGGTCACTCTCCTCATGCTGTACTTTGTCAGGTGTCAGTCTTCTTATTATCATTGCCAGTGGTTTTGTTTTCATATCAAAAGCAGCCCAATCTTTGGTATAAAGGCATTATCCACAAGAGTAGAACACATCATCTACAAAGCCTTGAATAAGAAATTAAAAAGGAAAAGTATTTTTCCAAGCATCTTCTTCGTTAATGTTCCAAATGTTACCCAGAAAATGTTTGTAAACATACCATATTATGCAAGAGTAAAATAATCTCACCAGCTAAATTGTCATTACCTGTTTGATCACTGACATGAATCTTTAAAAGGAAGTATACATAAATGCATTTATAGTAATTTCATCATTATTTGTTTGTTTTTTGTTGGCACTCATTAATTCTCTCCCACATTCCCTACTGAACAGCATGTACACTCCATTTCCTTTCACAATGGACAAAGGTGGAATTTTTTCCAAGCCTTTAACAATACTGTTTCTAAAATGGCAGCTGGGTGTGCAAGCATGTGATCTGGGCTTGAAGTCAGTCACTGCTTCTTTCGTGTTGAGCTACCCTGGGCACACAATGATGTTTCCTTTTAGTGACAACATTGGTTTTACAAAATCATCAAATAGAATTTGGTGAGCATATTGTTTTCCATAAAATGAGGGTGAATGTTAAATGGCGAGTTAAGAGACTGCCCCCCCAGAATTATCTTCCTGTTTACATTCTGCCAGTCTATCATATGATCCAAGGATGTTTAAGAAATCAAATTGTGTGATATTCTTCAGTACCAGAAAATGGCATGTTAGAAATTTATCTTTTCACAAGTTTACGTTAGGAAAATAGAGTTTGCCCAAAATGAAATTTTATGTGCTAAATAATTGTTCCAAAGAAGTTTCCACTGTTTTACTTACCAAGGAGTAAAATGTCTTCTGTGATGCCCATGACTTATCTTTGTATTTGAATTTAGTACAGATGTCAGATCAATACAAAAAAAAATGGCAGAAGCATCAGAAAGTGTTAGAATGCCTTGAGCTAACAATCTGCCAGAGTGCAATTCCACAGATAATAGGTTTTTCCTTGGAATACAGCACCCCCTTGCTTTGGATTTGAACAATAACATTGATAAACATGAGATGTCTGTCTAGTGTAGGCAGATTTGTAACCTGCAACTGTCTGAAGACATTAGTGGATTAAAAGTTTGAACTTATTATTAGAAACACTATTCAAGTTAATTTGATTTTGGAATAAAGTTTACAGATGCTGAAATGTATATCACAATATATGGTAGGTCACGGACTTCATACTGAATGTATGTTATCAATTCCAGTGAAAATCCAACTATTTCAACTTTAAAATCATTGCAGGAAGATATAAAATAATGGGCAAAATAATTTGTATAAATGTGCCTACTCCCTAAAATCAACAAGAATGGAAACATGATTAACAACAATCACAAAGACAAAAACATTTTACATCCAGGTAGCACCAACTAACCAACTAAAGCATCCCAAGGTGCTTTATGTCGTGTTATAGAATAAAATTTGACACTAAGTCTCATGTGGATACAATATAATAATGTTTAATAAGCTTAATGCGCTTTAAAGCTTTAGGGATCAAATAGACATCCAATAGAGGCACGATTATGTCAGAGGTCGGAACTAAAGACGTTAGGTTCAAGATCTTGGACAGTTGTAATGCTGAATGAGGTTACAGAAGTAGGAAGATGGGGGGGGTAGCATAGAGGAATTTGAAGACAGTGATGTGAATTTCTTTGAAAAAGTGCATCTTGGGCTAGAAACTAATGTAGATCAATGAATCAGAAGTCAAAGGAAAAAGAAAACAAGAGCGCATTTAATATCTCTTGTTGTTGTTAAGAAAGTCCTGGTGCAATCATCAATTAACTTTCCCATGTTTAAGAGACCATAAAACTGTAAGACATGGGGGCCGAAGTAGGCTATGCAGCCCAGTGAGTCTGCTCCGCCATTCAGCAAGATCATGGTTGATCTGATAATCCTCAATTCCTGCCTTTTCCCCATAACCCTTGTTTCCCTTACTGAATAAAGTTCTATCTCAGCCTTAAACACACTTAATTACCCAGCCTTTGCATTTCTCTGCAGTAAGTAATTCCACAGATTCCATAACCTCTGAGAGAACAAATTCCTCCTCATCTTTCTGTCCTAACTGTGCAGCTCCTTACTCTGAGATTATAGCCCCGTTCCCAAACTCTTCCTACAAGGGGGAAACAACCTCCCTGCATCTACACTGTCAATCCTGGCAGGAATACTTGAAAGAAAAAGATCACATTATCCGTCCTAAAGCATACTCTTAACAGTTTACAGAGTCACTGCACTTGAAGATGCTCCCCACTCTAATTCTGCATACTTCAACCCAATGGACCACCCAGGTTATTAATAGTTGATTTCAGCCCAATCCATCAGTCGCTCAGTTCAGCTTACTCTAGGAATTTGCTTTTCATGCCTACTTTGTAGTCTGCAATACGATCAAATAAGCAAATCAAGTGAAGATATTATGATTCTGTATGGCACACAGTTTTCTACCACTTCCCTCACAAGATGTGGTGTTCCAACCTTAGGTTGTCTCCTCACTGAGGTGAAGTTTTAAAGCAGTATTTGCTGATTACCTTTTAATGTCCAATTTAGTTTCCTAATGAAAGATACCTAACTACAGAACATATGTACTAATACCATTTTTTCTTCTTTCTTGTAACAGGATCTGTGCGACACAGTATTTCTGTCGTGGCCTCAGAATCTTGCACGGCATTTCTCACCCTCACCTAATGCCACAAATCAAATCACATTTCCTCAAAATGTCATTGGACTTTACTGGTCTCCAAATGCCACCAAGGTGCTCACCTGGCCTCCTGTAAGCTCAATGCGATTCCAAGTATCAGCAACAGCACAATCTTGTACAAATGCTTGTCAAGAGCATGGACTCATCTGTGAACCAAAATTCTTCCAGTTTGTCAACAATAAGGCCATCTTTGAAAAGTAAGATTTTCTTTCCTTATCCATCTATAAAGTCTGGAATTTTGGATATTTCAAGCAAATAATGCTAAGAATGTGTTAGAATGAAAACTCAACATCAACCTTTGATAGATGTACCAGAATTATTATTTTCAGAGAAAATAAAAGTGAGTCAAAAATGCAAATAAGATCATTTCTCGATATCTATCTATTTATGTTTAATCTCTTATGATAGTAAGACAGCTTGATTTATAGGTTGGGTTCAGTTGTAGCTAAGAAAACATTTCAAGTGCCACATTTGCTCCGATACCCCGAGGCAGGGAGCAGAGAAGTGTACTAGGTTCCTCTGCCTACTCATTTTTCAATTGTTTTGCTGTCTGCATTGTCCAGTTCTCATATTGTGAATGACTGCTTAAATAAGGTATGAAAGAGCTGCTCTTTCCCAGCAAACTGTACTCCAGCAAGAGACTACACCTTCTAAAAAAGAGGGGAGAAATTGACTTTGCAATCAATAAAATCCAGCATGAGCAGTGTGCATTGTCAGAGTGAAATGTAAATGTATTTGAAAAGTTTTGACGCCATTTAGTGCTTAGAGTGCTGAAAAGTTGAATGGCCACAATGTTAAGTATGCTAAGAAAAAGAATTTGCATTGATGTAGGATTTTTCACAACCACTGATTATCTCAAAGAACTTTACAGGCAATCTTTTGCAAGGTAGTCACTGTAGAATTGTAGGAAATCCAGTAGCCAATTTTGTGGACTGCAATCTCCCACATCTGAATGATGATAATGACTAAATAATGTGCTCTTTTAGATTGGGCTATAAATATTGAACAGGGTACCAAGGATTATCCCCTGCTCTTATTTTAAAATAGTGTTATGGAAGCCTTCAGATCAACCTAACACCTTTCAAGGGTTGCAGGTGAATTTGCCCCCAAAACATCTGGAAAAAATCATTGGAGTGATGAATCAGAGAACGGTTATCCCCATAAACAGAAATGAGAGATTAAGTGAGGAGCTACTCTTTCAAGCTTAGACTGTTTCTTTCCCATTCCAGCTTCTGATAGGTTCATTGGTCAGTGAACGCAGGAAAGAAATAGTCTACAATTGTAAAAGCAGCAAGTGTGTGGGTAAGTGATGACAGTGAGAGTGTCGTCTCGGGAATATTCTCCCATATTGTGGGAACTAAAGCTTTTGCCAGGAGACATGAGATTGTGGCTTTTGCTGAAAGCCAAGACTCTTGCTTAGCACAGGAGAGATGGTCCCTTGGGTCAGGAGATTTGTCTGCTGAGGGGTAGATGCAGCTCCAAGAGAGGTTGGGGAGCGATTGAAGAATGAGGCTCCAACAGGTTTGGGTGAGAAGGAGGTTGCAAGAGGAGTGAAGAAGGAAGGGGCAAGGCCTGGAGTGGTAGGATTTAGCTGCAAGAAGAGTGGGTTGCAAAAGCGGCAGACAAAGAGGGAAGTATGAAGGAGGAGTGAGGGGTGAAAAGACATGCTGCAAGGGTCAGAGAGAGGGAGGACTGCAATGAGTGGACAGAGTGACTGCAAAAGGATAGAGAACAGTTCTAAACCTGTCACCAAAGGAATTCTCTGGGAACAAGGAGCCAAGAAAGCTTGAAATCATTGAGGTAATGAATTCCTTGTAAATGTAATTGGAATCGCTATCGTTAGGCTGCAGAAATTCAGGAGCTATTTTTTGAGGGAAAATGTAATAGGTGCTATAGTAACAAATGCCATGTGTCAATTATTAGTTTTAAATCTACAACACAGTAAAAAAAAAGGTAACCACTGCCTAGCTCAAATGTCCCATTTTTGTGTATTTGCAACTAAAATGTGGTAGTTGTGATCTCATCAGTCGAAGGAGGATGTAGTTAGGACAATGACTATTTCTTTGCAGAAGTGTGTGTCAGTTATTTTGCAAAAATGTTGATGACTTTATACCTGTTCCCTTGCACCAATTTGAATAGAGTTAGCTAGGAAACTAATGCTTTTTTTGTGTGTTGTGGCTCAAAGTTCAATAGAAGGTTGATCATTTTTGAGGAAATTGATGAATTCTTCTAACTCTGTTTCAGTGTGAGACAACATAGAGTCATACAGCATGGAAATAGACCCTTTGGTCCAACCAGTCCACACCGACCATGTTCCCAAACTAAACTAATCCCACCTGCCAGTGCTTGGGCCATGTCCCTCCAAATCTTTCCAATTCATGAACTAATCCAAATGTTTTTAAACATTGGAACTGTACCTGCATCCACCACTTCCCTTGACAGTTCAGTTCACACACAAACCAACCTCTGTGTAAAAGAAATAGTAGGAACTGCCGATGGTGGAGAATCTGGGATAACACGTTGTAGAGCTGGATGAACACAGCAGGCCAAGCAGCATCAGAAGAGCAGGAAAGCTGACGTTTCGGGTCGAGACCCTTCTTCAGAAATGGGGGAGGGGAAGGGGATTCTGAAATAAATAGCGAGAGAGGGGGAGGCGGATAGAAGATGGATAAAGGAGAAGATAGGTGGAGAGGAGACAGACAGGTCAAAGAAGCGGGGTTAGTGCCAGTAGAGGTGAATGTAGGTAGGGAGTTAGGGAGGGGATAGGTCGGTCCAGGGAGGACGGACAGGTCAAGGGGGCAGGATAAGGTTAGTAGGTAGGAAATGGGGGTGCGGCTTGAGGTGGGAGGAGGGGATAGGTGGGAGGAAGAACATGCTAGGGAGGCGGGGGTGAGCTGGGCTGGTTTTGGGATGCGGTCGGGGGAGGGGAGATTTTGAAGCTTGTGAAGTCCACATTGATACCCTTGATACCGATGTAGAGGAGGCCACAACGGGAACAGCGGTTTAGGGGCAGGTGTATCCAACGCATCATCCTCCGACACTTCCACCATCTGCAATCTGACCCCACTACCAAAGACATTTTTCCCTCCCCACCCTTATCTGCTTTCCAGAGGGACCACTCTCTCCTTGACTCCCTTGTCCGCTCCACATTCTTCTCCAGCCCCACCACACCCAGCACTTTTCCCTGCAACGCAGGAAGTGCTACACCTACCCCTACACCTCCCCCCTCACTCCCATCCCAGCCCCTAAGAAGACCTTCCACATCAGACAGATGTTCACCTGCACATCTGCTAATGTGGTATACTGTATCCGCTGTTCCCGTTGTGGCCTCCTCTACATCGGGAAACCAAGTGGAGGCTTGGGGACCGCTTTGCAGAACACCTACGCTCAGTTCGCAACAAACAACTACACCTCCCAGTCGCGAACCATTTCAACTCCCCCTCCCACTCCTTGAACGACATGTCCATCCTGGGCCTCTGCATTGCCGCAATGATGCCACCCGAAAGCTGCAGGAACAGCATCTCATATCTCGCTTGGGAACCCTGCAGCCCAAGGGTATCAATGTGGACTTCACAAGCTTCAAAATCTCCCCTCCCCCGACAGCATCCCAAAACCAACACAGCTTGTCCCCACCTCCCTAACCATTCCTCCCACCTCAAGCCCCACCCCCATCTCCTATCCACTAACCTCATCCCGCCTCCTTGACCTGTCCGTCCTCCCTGGACCGACCTATCCCCTCCCTAACTCCCCTCCTACATTCACCTTTACTGGCTCCAACCCCGCCTTTTTGACCTGTCTGTCTCCTCTCCCCCTATCTTCTCCTTTATCCATCTTCTATCCGCCTCCCCCTCTCCCTATTTATTTCAGAATCCCCTTCCCCTCCCCCATTTCTGAAGAAGGGTCTCGACCCGAAACGTCAGCTTTCCTGCTCCTCTGATGCTGCTTGGCCTGCTGTGTTCATCCAGCTCTGCACCGTGTTATCTCTGTGTAAAAGAGTTGTCCCTCATCCTTTTTAAAGCCTTCTCCTGTCTCCTTAAAAATATGGCCCCTAATTTTGAACTTCCTCACCCTAGAGAAAAGACCCTTGTTATTCACCTTGTCTATGTCAAACCTCAATAATGTCACTCCATGTCATTACAAATATAAAAGATATTGATAGAATGTGACTCCATTACCTAATAAATGAAACTCCCAACAATCAAAATATGGCCCTCAAGAAAATCTCAAGAGCCTTTGAAAACAAAATTATATTGTTCCCTAATAGCTAAACCATCAGATTAGGTCTGAGTCTATTATTTCATCTGGAAGATACCACCTCTGACAGTTTAGCATTTCTTTGGTACTGCACTGGATTGCACTGGGACTTGGGTCTCGTGGCTCAGACGTAAGAAAACTATCAACTGAGCCACGGCTGATATAAAAATAAAACAAAGAACTGCACATGCTGGAGATCTGAAATAGAAACAGAAAGTTGTGGAGAAACTCAGCAGTTCTGCGAGTATCTGTAGAGAGAGAAACAGAGTCAATGCTTCAAGTCCAATGACCCTTTGTCAGAAAGGCTGAAATACTGAATAAACAAAACTTTGGTTACATTGGCTGCGACAAATTAGCAAAAACATATGAGAACTGACCAAAGGACTATGGGCTGAGTATTAGAACTGAGTTGGATTGATACCACAATTAACAGATACTTGGCACATTTGCCAACGCTGGGAATATGGCTAGCATGAAACCCAAAAGTAAAGCCTAACCAGAGAGTCTGAAAATCAATATAACGTAGATTGGATCTTCACCAGATTTGGAAATAAGAGTGCATTAAGATTGCAGATATTTATATGTGTAAAGAATTAATTATGCATCATTTAGCAGATTTCAGTCTGTTAGTGACTATATTTATCATGTGTAACTTGCTAGTCCCGACCCAAGCCAATGTTGCATGATAGAAATTATTTTCTGAGGTTCATTTTGGAGAGCACTATTCTAAAGATATTTCATTCAAATTACTTTTATTAGTATTGTTTACCTCCTTCAGATGTCTCTCATTGGTCATGAGGCGAAAAGTGGATTTTTTCCATTTTTTGCATTAACACAAACTTTTGTTAAAAAATTATCTTTTTCTTCCAGAAGGATATTGTTTAATGAATTATAAAGACTATTAAAACCCTTGAATTTGATTATATATTTTTACATTCCATCCACTAGGTTCAATTTTGTCTGTGACAGCATCGAGTCTGAGGCTAACCATCTCTATCCCGCCTTTGAGGAAATCGCTCAGGACTGTTACCTTCAGAAGCAGATCCTGCTGTTCAGTTGTGCAGGCCATCATCCAAAATATAGACGGCTCTGTCCCTGCAGAGACTTTCGCAAGGAACAAGTGGCACTCTGTAAAGGATGTTTGTGAGCTTTTGAGCTGTTTAAGCATGAAGACTGGTAAAAAAGAAATTTGACTCTCCTAATGATGTAATGACCCATCAGCGCTTCCACCCAATCCAAGAACCACATCACGGACACATTTCTCCAAGAGAAATAGTGAAGAAATTGAGGAAATTCTCCAAGAGTACTCCCACACAGGTTACTTTGATAAAAGAACAGGAAAATTATACTTTAACAGGCCATATCTAACCTGTGATCTAGTTTGTTTCTTCAAGTGTTTGCTTTTGTTGCATGCAAATAGAAAGTCCATGTGAACTCGTTTTTAACTTAAATACCTCCATGTTTAAATAATGTTTCAGACCACTCCTATGGTTATCACCGGTTCAGAATAAATATTTGTGTCAAGAATCAACAGTTCCTTATTATTAAATATACCTATAGATCCTTTTATTTTAGGGGACTGTTTCTATTGCAAGTTTTGTTCTATTTGTTACACGCACAATGGTACAGAGCACAATGAGACCAACGGTAACTTTTTTTGGATTCAGTGCAAAAGTGCAACTCAAATATTCAGTTAATCTAAATTTGCTTTTTATTCTCCATGCATTTTTATTCAGGACAAATGAGTTGATGCAACAAATAAATCTTACAAACTCTAATATTTATAAAGTTCAAAGTGATTTGTTGCTCAATTGCTGCAATTTTACATCATAAAGCCCTGGAGGGGTAAAAATGCCAGTTTCTGAATAAATCTGAATGACAACAAAATGCCTTACACAATCAATCACTTACTTCTAATAACACAATGTGGAAAAATGTTTGATAGAAGTGATCAAAATCGATTCCTCAAATGAGTTAGCTACAACATTGCACCATTGTTTCACTGAGAATTCCTCTAAACATGTTCATAAATATGAAAGAAACTGATAAAAGCTTGTTGATTGATAACTATTAATGACTGATATATTCGAAATGCGTCCATGCTCTTGCAAAGTTTACATCATTTTATTTCGTGGCCTCTGAAAAGAATATCTTTGTATAAGATAGTAAAATATCTTGTAGTATTGGAGCGCTGAGATGAAAATTTCAATGATATTAAAATTATACTGTTGGAAAATAACTATGAATGGTCACCTGAAGTTCCTAAGTCTGTTAATTTAATAACAATGGCAACCCATTTGCTGCCACTAAAATAGAAGACTGAGGTATTTCAGACAAATACACTAAGCACTCATGTCTGTTATTCCCACTATAATTTCAAGGCCTGTAATTTCAATGGTTTTTCTCATGGGGAATCTCATTGAATGAGAAGCTGCCATTTAGCTTAGCTAGGAAGTAGGAATTACAATATTTAATGTTGCTAATGTTTCTAATCTAATTAGCAGAGTGTAAAGTTAATTTTATGGCAGCATATTATTTAAATAGGACACAAGGTGAGCAAATGTTTGATTTTAAAAATGGCATTTTTCTATTATTATACACTGTGCATGCAACATCGCTTTTCGTATTAGATTATTGAACAGCAAATGAGCAATTACCTTATAAATCACAATGCAGCACTCCTGAAATATTGCTCCCACTCTGAAGAGGCGGGATGAAATCCAACTGAACGAAAATAAATATGCGCACAGCACAGCCCACTCACTGTAAATCTTGCATATGGCTGGACCGTGTGTACAAAATTAAAGAATTAAATACTAAAGCTATTAACTTAGACCGAAGAGAGGGTCAAACCATTTCAATTGAGGTGTAACATTTTATCACTGAACTTAATTGTATTGTGGTATGTTTGGTGCTGCAACCAGACCAAGCACCAGCGTATGTTCTATTTTAAAGCAGTTCTATCCCACTCTACAGGGAAAGCTCTAATGTACCAGTCATATTTACTTTTTGCCTCAAATCAAGTTAACAGCTAAAAGTGGAGTTAAGAAAAATTTGGATGACAACAGATTAAATGCTTAATATATGATCTTGAAGCAGCAATAAGATTAATAGAACTTTAACTTTAAACTGTAACAAATTTGTATAAATTGGGGAATGTCATGCTAATACTATGCTGTGATTTGATCAGAATTTTCCACCGGGAAATAAATACATGACCAAATGTACAAAGTCTGTCCTGTTGCAAATACAGCAGGCTTGCATCCCAGTGTACATTCCAGTGAATGAAACCTGAGAGGGAGAGAAGTGTCGCCTCAAAGAAGTGGTTACCATATATACTCGTGTAAAAGTCAAATTTTTTAGACTATTTTTACGGTTAAATTTATGGGGTCGACTGTTACATGGATACTATTTTTAAGGGGCTGAAGTTCATGATACAGTGCAAAATACCGTATCATTAGCAGAAGCCCAATTGATCTGTAAATGAATAAAGAAAAAAGACTACAATGAATTACAGCAACATTTTTCTCCAGTTGTGGCCATTCGCTGGTTTACCTCCCTTCAGCACACTTTCATTTTGCCATTGTCTGAAGTTGGTTCAATATCTTTCTCCAGTCTCTCACAAGCTTCTCCAAAACACAAAATCCTCCTTGCGGCTACACAGTCATTTGCCTTCTCTGCAACTTCAATAACTTTCAGTTTAGACGCTGCTGTATAATTTTTTGTTTTTTTCTGGAGGGCATTTTTACACAAAATGCTGAAGAAATTTCAAACCTCAACTAGGCATATGACTGTATTCCATGAGTGCCCGACTCCGACCTGATGCATCTTAAACTTTCATGCCAAATTCTTCCATTTCCCTCTGTTTTCTCTCGTCTATTGTTGTTTTTGTTTATCAAACTAACATTTTAATCTTTTATTTCTGATAAAAAATAGTTATCAGACATTTGACTCGCATACAGTCTCATCGATCATTTCGTCATCATAACAGTTATGTACAGGATAATACCTTGACTCACAAATATTGATCTGTTATCTATGAAGAGCTAGGATCAGCTTTTACACGAGATATATGGAAAATTCAAGATCTTTTGGCCAGAAATGGGGGATCGACTTTTACATGAGATCAACTTTTACCCAAGTATGTACAGTAATTCATTTCAATACTTACCGGGTATTTTTCATGTCTGTACACCAAATTTTCAACAACTTTTCTATGCTGGTATTTTTTGCTTGACAGTTTTCTGTTCGGGACTTAAATTCTCAAAACCATTTGTGTCAACTGATGCCAATTATTCATTTTCCACCAGCTACTAGTGTTAATTAATTTCCAATATGCCTTTGAAGGGAAGCTGGTTATGCTACACAAATGATGCACTATGCCTATTTGTCTGCTGTTCAGATCTCTTCCAATGGGTTTACAATCTCAGCAACACACTCTACAGTCTTGATTTGATTGTATTCCAGAGCATCATTTTTATATTAAATGTTTGCATTTGTATAAATTCTGGCTCTCTAATACGCACTCATCTAATTAAATGCTGGGAAGAAACAACTATCAAAACTAGGGGACATATTTTAAGGTGAGAGGCGAAAGATTTAAAAATTTTTTTACACAGAGCGTGGCTCGTATGTGGAATGAACTGCTAGAGGAAATAATGGATGCAAAGGATAGTTACTACATTTCAAAGGCTTTTGGACAATTACATGAATAGAAAAGGTTTGGAAGGATGTGAGCCAGATGCAGGCAAGTGGGACTAATTTGGTTTGGGAACATGGTCAGCGTGGATGAGTTGGATTGAAAGGTCTGTTTTCATGCTGTATGACTCTATTCAAGGATTACCACCACAGTTCAGGTAGTTCTGCTATAACGCATGTTTCGTTAATGAGAATTGGCTGTAACATAATCGATGAATAGTAGACAGTGGATAATGTGAATTTTCTGCTGTACAGGTAGGGCAATTTTCTATAGTGGTTTCCCTATAACGTGATTTTCTATGGCAGTTTTCTATAGTGCAAGGTCACACATCAGCAGAAGCCCAATTGATCCATAAACACACAAAGGAAAAAAGACCACAATGAATTACGACAACATTTTACTCCAATTGCGTCAACTTGCTACACAACTATCACATTATAGGAGAACTACCCGTATGTTGCATTTTTAGTATTTGATACTTTTAACTTTGTAAGTTCTTGTAAAAGCTACTTAAACATTTAGGTCTAATTTTTTTTAAATAGTGAATAAATGGATCCCATAAGCGTATATGTCATAGAATCTATCTCACAGAGTCAGCCCTTCAGCCCAATTGCTTTATACTGGTTTATATTTCTCATATGTTTTACTTTATAGTATTTTCTCTAACACAACTCCCAAATTTTCCAAATACTTTCCTTTCATTTAAGAATCAATACTACCTTTAAATGTTTCAATGATATCGATCAACCATCCCTTGTGGCAACAACTTTGACATTCTCACCACTCTCTGTATAAGAAACTTCACCTAAATACATTACTTTGGGTAGCTATTATATTTATGTACCTTGCAATGGATCTGCCCACAAATGGAATAATTTGCTGCCTTGTTTGGTGCAGACAATGGTGAGAAATGTGGGAAAATATAACAAAAAGTAAAAATATAACAAAATCTCAATGTCTGCAAAGATAAAACAGGTTCTCCTTTAAGATTTGGAAGGTGATTTCAGAACCTTGCTTATGAGTGCCAATTACCTCTTTCCATGCATTTGTATTCTCATGAATAGCCCAATTTGCCTCATCTCTGAGCAGATTTCCTGACAGACTGAGCTGTGCTAATTCCTGACATGAATTCACCTTTTGCTTCTTCATTCTGCCTCCGTTGAACCCTTTCTTCACTACATACTCTATGGACTCATTGTTCCTGCACTTTTCATCCACACCAGCCGGTATCATCAGCAAACCACCAGACTCATCACATCATTATGCCTTCTGTTGTACTAAATACATTAAATATATAGAGTGGCATGGTGGCTCAGTGGTTAGCACTGCTGCCTCACAGCACCAAGGACCCAGGTTCGATTTTAACCTCATTCTCCCCACATCTGCATAGGTTTCTGTGAGTGCTCTGGTTTCCTCCCACAGTCCAAAGATGTGCAGGTTAGATGGAT